ATGTGGATATTGACTCATAAGACCACTTGCTGAATCAATAGAAGAAGTACTTTCACCACCAAGACTTCTTGAAAGTACAGTGTCAGGCAGTGGAGTAAATTTTTCAGCTCTAGGGTTCCTTTGTTTACGATTTCTAGCATCACCAACTTCTGGAATATTACGCCATTCGTCTTCACTAACCATAGTTAATCTAAAAAATAATACATTTTTAGAAAAGTGTAAAAATAGTGTTTAAATATATGGTAAATAGTGCTAAAAGTGTAACCAACAAAAACAAAAAAAATATTTTATTGAATATACATAACAGAATAGAATATTTTAAAACAAAATAAATCCTACTATTGAATATAGTCTACTGGTTGATAGCACATTATTTTATCAAGCATTAAAATTTAAATGTTAATTTAAGGACTTAAATAATTAGACTAAACATTTATTTTTTTTTTTAAGTTATTAATCAATGAGTAAAATTTATTTTGAACTACACTATATATGCACATATAATCAGTTGCAGTTAGGAATTTATTTTTTTTATGAAACAACTATTCATCCACCCATTAATTATTCTCATGAAAATGTAAATAACTAATCTCCATAAAATTCCAATTTATTAAAGTACATGAATTATACATGGGTCTTGGATTATTAAGACCTACCCCTGATTTTACATTAATCGTTAACTTCATAAGAAAGCTATTCTTACCACAATGGAATAAAGTTATGTATATAATAAATATATATATATTAATTTACCCTCTTTTTAAGTCACTGAATTGTTGCTGAATCTTTGGTCGTTCTTGTCGATATTTTTCTAATTCTTCTTTTAATCGTTTTTCTCTATATTCTTTACGTTTTTCGTCCATTCGTTTATCAATTTCTTCATAAATCATATCTGCTTCTTCATCATCTTTATCATATGGATCCTTACTGAATAATGAACCACCATAACCACTAAATTCATCATAGTTAGAATCATTCAAATCTTCATCATCATCTTCTTCTTCATCCTTTTTTTTTTTTTTTGTGGGTGGTGCATGTCGATCGTCGGAAACATCATTAGCATCTCGCGCTGGACCAATATCAGACCGTGTTGTAAATCCTGTAGCACCACGACCAACACCAGCGACATATCCAAGAGGTGCAGGAATTCCAATAAAATGTTTTTTTACCTTACTTACTAATGCGGCTGGTGGTGCTGCCATTATAGTTATTTTATTTAAATTTAATTTAACCGACAAACATTCAAATTTTAAAATTCAGAACTAAGATTTTATTACTTTACTGATTTCCGTATCTTACTATTTCTCCGATTTCTCGTCTTGTTGTTTAATGTTTATTGTTTTCACTGTTTTCAGTCTAAAACTTTATTACAGTCTTATCTATTTTCAATGCTATCAAACTATAGTCTATAAGTTTTGTTATTGATAGAATAAACTAACTATGGTTTTTCATCCAAGAATAATGGTTTACTCCATGATTCTTTAATCTTAATTTGAAAAATGTATTATAGCCTATAGGCCTGTTTTAGTAGTTACTATAAAAAATAGTTTCATATTAATAGTTTTTTACCAAAATCAAATGAAAAAGACCGTATTACAATTATTCATCATTGATTTTAACTTCAGTTATGTATGTATGTCGGTAATTACTAATTAGTATGTTAAATGTTTGGAGAAACGAAAATGATTAAAACATTGTTCATCAATCATTTCTCCGCTTCATAAAATGATTAAGCTGCTTAAGAAACATCTTTCTTTTTATAGGGAAAGTTAGAAGTCTGTCAGTTCAACGAAATCTTCATCGTCAGTATGTGTGGAGGGTGTGGTGGTGGCGGCGACAGCAGAATAAAAACCAATAGTGGGAATGAGCAAGAGAGCATAGGGATGAGTGGCTGGCGCTCTCTTTTTCATACTACTGGATTAGATTAGATAGATGTAGATATATTATATAACCACTGTCTTCATAGTTATTTTTTTTAGTTTTTGATGAAATTTACAATCTGTACCTAGTGACACAATGAGTAAATGTAAATATAGAAATAAAAACGTACAAAGTTGTAGACAATTAATAATCGATCAACTACTTAGTACTTGATATAAAAAATAATATTTTTAAATTATTAATTGAGACGTGTGTTACAGACCCTGTAATAAGTAATAACGCTGAATGCTGATAATTTATATCACAGGCCCCGTAATAATATTGAATATTTTATTGTAATACTTATATATTCACGGACCATGTAATAATATCGATAGTTATAACACATGTATTCACATAACGAGGTGACAATGGTGACACATGATCCGTGTAGCGAATGATAGAGACAATGAAAGGCCAGAATGGATAGTGTGAGCATTGTATTATTTAATTAATCAATTAAAACACAATTACACGCCGCGAACTTCTCAGAAAACATCGCTACTGTGAGAAGACAAGCCAGAAAAGGGCTATCACTTCTTAGAACACTGATCGCAAATCGAGGGTGCACGTGTCATCGTAAGTCACCAACTCCGCCGCTGACTCATTGTGTGAAGACCATTCATAATGGCAACATGAGCCAGAGTTTGTCTCACGGTTAGAGATATCCAAGACGCTTAAAGGTAGGTTGTAAGTTGTAACACCATACATTGTCTTAGTTATCAGTATTTTTGAGACCGGTCATAACACCGCTCACCAAACATCTTGTACTTAAATTAGTGTATTTTTTATAAATTAAATAAAAATGTACTTTATATTTAACATATTAATATTATCATTTCCGCGTGGATATATGAATCGACGTTGTTCAATGGGACGCAACATGTGTATAGTTTAAATATTTAATCCAACCCTCCACGACGTCTCAAAAGACGATGGTGTAGAGATCTCCTAAATAAATAAGTAATTTGTTCTGGAGGGTTCTATCAATGGATAGTCTCCCTCCTCATGTAATTCATGTTATGTAATTTTAGTCTCTTTTATATTTTATCAACTTTGCTTATTGTACACAAGATACAGATTGTAAATATATATTTTAAAATAAAAAAAAAAATAAAATATTTAATAACCATGTAATGTGATGTGCACTAAATAATGTACATTGTAGATTATCATAAAAATGTAATAAATTAGTTTATTATAATTTAGGAAATTATAATAGTTAACGTAGTTACTCCCGGGTCTGCAGCAGCCTTTTCGTCATATGACTTAATGACTACATAACGACATAACTACACAGGTATTATACAAAAATGTTCACGGTAAAAATATCCGGAGTAAAATGTCTGAAACCAAGAATGTTCTTGGTAAAATTTTCCAAAATCGAAAAATTGATTGATCGTATTATAATAAAATGGGAATCCTTTGTATCACATTAGTTATCCATATTAAAAACAAAAAAAAAAAAACACTGTATGGCTGTATATTTTCTATACTATGTGAATACCTGAAGATATTTATACCTATCTAATTTGTGATTGACATAATTTAACGGTTATTACGATAAGATTATCGAGATGATTTTGTTACAACGTATTATACGTCGGTAACACAGGTGGTAGGTAACACAATTATCTGTTTCAGTTCTTAATTTTTAATTGTATCATTTTTGCGTGAGTGCGTGCGTGACGCGTGTTATTTTATTTTATTACATTTATAGAAAATATTAATAAAAATCTTAATTGAAAAATGGTTGATAATATTAAATCAAATAAAAATCATGACAAGTTGTGTTTAGATAGGTATGCATATACCATTCAACATATGCTAAAAACCAAAATTCGTTGGTATTGTGTAAAACGTAATTTGTTAAATTGTTCTGCATCACTAACTACAGATTTATTAAAAAATAATTCATTATTGGTTAGAAACCATTCACATTCAGCAGATATCGACGAAATGCTTAGCAGAAATTTTACCATGGACATTTTTACCTAAATTCAACTACATAAGTACATTATTACAATATTGTTGGATTCTTATATTTATATATATATACCTATATATTATTGTATAAGATATATGTATATTTATTATATAAGAGATAGACTTATCTTATTTTTATTACACCAATGACGAGATAAAATGGAATTCGATACGATTAAGTAAGTATCTACAATGTTAGATTCTACACCCAATAATTTTATTAATAATATTTATTATCAGTTTTTCTTATTAATACGAAATATACAAGCATTAGAAGTATACAATTCTTTGTTGGCAGTCATATATTTACTACCTACCATTCAGATGCAACACCAACCGAATCAGAATAAGTAAATAATAATTAAATTTTAAGAATATTAAAAATAAAATAATTTATATTACTTTTTTATGAAAAATTATTACACGAGATGTCTTAAAAGAAGATATTAGAAAAAAATCGGTGAGGGGTCCTCGATTTTTAAAAATCTTGATCAGGGGTCCGTGATTTACAAAAAAATAAGAACTGCCGTGTTATATGATCCTCATACTAATTAATGAATGTAGATCAACTTTTTTAAACTAAGTTGAGATAATATTATTTTCTATATTAACTTTTAACTTGTTGATCTAAATTTATGATTTATTAACTAGTAACTTCTAACTTATCAATACATTTAACTTAAATTAATTATTATAATTAACTTGCTTGCTCATCTTTGGGAATCAACAGAAGTGTACATACTACGGTATCAAAATATTTTTAAGGGAATTTATAAAATATTTGGGGAGTAAGGGAGTTAAGACAAGTTTAGTGTTTACAATGTTTATAATTTTATATAATTACATTTGCGAATAAAGAATAAAATATATTGTCATACAAGTTATCACATCGAAACTGAAAACATCACAATTACCAGTCTGCTTTTCCGTTCATTATAGAGTAGTACCAATCGTATTGCAAAAATTAACGGTATAACCATAGTTTACCTGAACTGGACCAAATCGACGATTGTAATACTGACAGTAAGTTAACCTAAGAGTTCATTGATAACCGAGGTTTAACTGAATTCGAGTTTACCACACTATTGTAAAACAAGCCCTTCATAATTCTACATTTTTTCATTGGTGTATTACGAGAATTAGGTTATCCGTTATCTTTTTTATTTAACTATGAACTAAGTCATAGTGATATAGCGGGTTTTCCTATAAAATTTCGTTGTTTGGCGAATCAGCGACAATTAATGATTACTATTATCGCAATATCCGTTATTAATATTTAACGTTATTGTTGGCTGTTGCAGGCATCAGACACTCAGTGTTTAGTGTTCTTGGTTCTTACTTATTTACGGTTTCCACGTTTTTGTGGCCAACTCCTAATAAGTAACAACTCAATATTTATTGTTCAAGTAATAATTCTTCATTTTTTTTCAACGGATCTTCCCTTGATAGGTAAGTCACTTATTAGTTTTACCATCAACAATTAGTTAGCCTTTAAAATAAGTGCCTATATTAAATGTCTAATATATGTTATTCCTGGATCTTATACAATTATTGAACATGTGGTTTCGTCGTTAAGAAATTCATTAATTTTATATTTTTTTATTTGTAAAAAATAATAATATTAGTTAAATTTAATAAAAAAAGTTTTTAATCTGTATTAGGTATATTTGGCGGGAAACTAGTTTGGGTTTTGTCTTTAATTTTTCCACAGTATTTAGTAAATTATTATTTTTTCTTTGATACCTATTGTAATTTTACTTTAGGATTCTAATTGATAGAAAATGATTAGTACCTCTGTCATGTACTTGTATGTTATTATTGTTGCTGTTTATATTATAATATATTTTTTGTTATTGTGTGTAAAATATTATTATCTATAGTTGCATTCATTTTTGACTTAATCAGTTAAGTGACATAGGTTCTAACCTATTTATTGATTTTCTTTATAATATAATAGTAGATGTACACACTATTATTTTATTATATTTTATTACTTAAAAAAAAGTAAAAATATAAATGTGAAAAGTCATGAAGTCCAAATCTTAGTTATAACACTTATAACTTATAAGATATGACCATATAACAAATAAAATAATTGTGAGTTAAAGAATATCTGTTTTAAATGTTTGATAAAGAATTTTAATTTTGTCAAACTAATTGATTAGAAGTTTTAATATTTAAGTCAAATAAAAAAATAATAAAATTATCTTTTACTTATTACTTATTATATAGAAAAATCAACATAATAATGACTTTTTAATAGAAAACAAAATTATTCTGTTATAAGGCATAAAGATAATCTACTACTTGTAGCACTTAATTATTTCTTCATAAGAAATAAATTATAAATAAATAAAAACCAAAAAAAATTAGTTATGGTGATTATGTTTATATGAAAATAAATGAATAATATAATATAAAAAAAATAAATATGAATTCAATTTTTAAGTGAGTTATAACTATGAATAATATTACAATTTTAATAAGTTAATTCCTCGCTTAAAGTAATTTCTTAAATCTCTTATTATATTATAATACGTACAATGTATTTTTTTATCAGACTATAAGAAAATAATAATTTTTGTCTGGTTTGATCAAACCATACCCTTAAAAAGAAAAGTAGGTTTCTTCGACTTAAGTCGTTAATTTCTGTTTTCTATGATCAACTAGTCAAAATTGTAATATTAATCTTAAAAAAAATGCATTTATTTGAACATTGAAGTTTTATTTCCTTGTAAGATGTAAAATGGATAATCCATTGGCCTCATCTTCAAGTTATTTGTGTTAATGATAAAAAGTATAATAGATTAGATTCTATTAAAGAATAGAAGGTACAACCCCATTGTCTATCTATTTTTTTATTTTTTAATCCAGTGAATACAATTAAAATTGTATTAGTATAAAAATTATTAAGTAGTAACAAATTTTAAATTATAATAGCATTGTTCTAAGTATAAATATCATGTTGATTGGCAACTGTAATTTATTAATTAAAGCTTGAAAACATATCTCATAAGATTTCATGTTTTAATAAAAGTACTATACAATTAGAAAATACAGGCATCATTGACTAATAGGTAGTAAGGAATTAAATATTATGATTATTAGAAGATTGAGGTAAACATTTTAGTTTAAATAAAATTTGTATTAAAAAACTTGCTGAATGCTTAATATTTTAAAATAGATAATAACAAATATATGTTCCTAGTTTTAATTGTTGACAGTAAATTATTGTTAACATTTTGTGGTAATGTAGAATCAAAAATGTATAGTATTATCTTCAATATTTATAAATAAAAAATAGCCTAACAATAGTTATTTTATAAATGTATAAATACATAAACATAATAATTATTAATTATCCGGTTATGTTTAGTTAATTAGTTGTTTGAATATAGATTGAACAATAGTTATTAACTACTATTTTATAGTGAATCTCATTATCTTAGATAAAATAATCCATAGACAGCTAGTTAAAATACATAAAATAACTGCTACCCATCCTAAACTTACACTCCAGCCTAGTGAATATATTCTAGCAGTCAGCAATTGTTCCCAAAAATGTATTGTTTGACACATATTTCCATTGACATTGATCATGCCATCAATAAGTGCTAGTGATTGATTGCAATTATTCTGGCTATGCGTTTTTCTTGAATGATGTTTATTGTGCATTATTCCCAATGTGAACAAACCAAAAGTTGCTATAAAATAAGAATTTATGTTTTTTACATAGAAAACAAAAATTATTTGAAAATTTATTTTAATATATATATAATTTAAAATCTATTAAACAATATGATACTGTTAAATTTTAAGTATTATGGTAAAAGTATAAATTCTGTAAAACCTAACTTTTACTGGCTATTACTGATAAATGTCATAGTTTCTATCTTTTGCTAATTTATATTGGTAACAATTGAGTATAGTTACAATTTGAAATGTAATAAAAAAAACCTTACTATTATAAATTATATTTTAATATATAAAATTGAAAATTGAAACCTTCGATGCTAATGTTCTTAAAAACTACTCAACTGATTATTTTAATTTTTTTTTCTTAATGGAAGTTTATATCACGGATAAGGTTCCTATCGCAATAGAATTTGTTTAAGTTAATAAACAATTAAATAACATGTAAATTATATACCTATATACATATTGTGTGCCCAACATGTTTCCAGTTATCTGCAATCTGACCTTTTTGTCCATCAAAAAATTATGTGTTTGATATTTTTGTGTAGATATCAGTCATTCCGAGAAATTTATTGATAAAAATAATTTTCATGGTACCTTCATTCCACCATATTTTTGTGCAATAAGAAATTATTTTAAAGTGATATGCTTGCACAATTTTTTTGAGATTCAAGATGGTCAATAAAATTTTTTAAGTTTTGAACACCATTAAATGCCAAAAATGTACAATTATAAATTAAATGAAGTTTGGATCATACAGTTGACATTTCTAACGTACAATGAGGGGTCAGCTACTATCTATTTTTCTAATGTTTGTATTTATCAATCACAATATTTTTTTAAATTATAAAAGTGATTACATTTTTCAATTAAGTTATTTATAAATTATTATTTTACTTTTTTAATTTTAGAAACAATATCTTCTAACAATTGTAAAATAAGTATAGTTTGTACAATTCATTTTTATAGATTTGTAATGACTAATGAGATTCCTTTACTACAATATAACATAGTAAAATGTGTCTTATACTGTTATACTGCAATAATATTATATAATTTTTAATTTTTATTATCTCTTGAGCAAATCCATAATTGTATCATATTATCAATGGTGTTTATTGAAATAATGTATTTAATTTTAGTTTATTATATTATTATTTTTTATTTTTCTTATTTAAATACCTATGTACAAAATTGAGTTATATAACATTCACATATTGCTTACATTTACCATACAATTTTATTTACTTTGATCTAAACAATTTTTCTCTGTAAAAACTAACCACAAATAATCATTTGGAGTATGATGAAATTGTTAAATAGTACATCCTAAAATTCACTTATATTAAACTGTGAAATATTAAATTTATATACAGTGATAAACCAGTAGTGTCTTTATAACTTAAATTTTACTCATTCATACTTTTACCAAAACATACATTATTTAAAGGCTTTTTATAATATTTAACATATTTTAGGGTTAAATTTGAAATTTTATAGTTTTTGTAAAATATATAAGTTGACATTTAAAATATTACCTGCTAATAAATACATTACAGCAGTGATTAGCATAGCACTAATTTGATGACGGAAAATAGAAAAAAGACCAATCAATGATGCAGTAACAATTATTATAATGCATACCAACGCACATGATATTGACACATTTTGCATTCCTTAAACATAATTTTATAGGTACTTAAAAAAATAATATTTCATAACAATATTTATTAAATAATAATATATTATTTATATTATGTTTTTGTTCTTTCAACTATAAAATTATATTACAAATTATAATTTTTTTAAATATTTGTCAATTTACTGGAGGTTCTTCTGCCCAGACTTAAGATGGAAAAATTTCTTGTTGGTCATATATATATTTTATTATAACTTGATCATAAAATTTATTTTAGTGGTCATCATTTAGTTTAGTGTTATACAAGTCAATACTAAAACAGTTTTCAACATACTCTGATTTCAAATATATTTAGCCAAAACAGTAATATAACCACTTATAAATTTCTAATTTATTATTTTTATTATCAGTTAAGAGCACAAGTCTCAACTGCGTGCCAGTATGCCTGTGTTAGTAACAGCTGTCTAATTTAATTTCTGGCCATTGTAGCATACAAGTATTTCAGAATCAGTAAAAAAAAAAAAATGTATTTGAATTTAACACCAACTTCATTATATAGTTCATGTGTTGTTCAAAAATGTTTTTTTATAATTTGTTTTTCAGAAAACAAAATATTTAAAGTATATAATGACATAATTATAAGTAGTTACCATACAAATAAATTGAATATTATTATAAACCACCTAAAAATCATGAAATTAAATTGATGTACGAATTTTATAAAATATAATACATAAATAAATATTGATGCAATTAAAATGATCTGTTAGAGGAATTAACCTAAGTTTATAGTATAGTAACATAATGTTTTTTAAGGAAATTTACGTTCAATATAATATGGTAGCTAAATGCTTTTAGAGGAGTTAACATTTGCCCATTTTTTAGTTCCGATATGAACTACTCATAAGTAACATCCGTATTAATGTTTAACCCTTAGCTATAAAAATTGAAGATTTTTTTGAATTTTGGTATTAATTTTAACTTCAAATGTATAAAAAAAAATACATTTTGCTTATGTTTTTAAAGATTTTTTATACAGATATGAAAACAACTAATGTCGAAAATATTTATAAATAATTCTGCTTAAATAGAAAAAATGGTCAAAATATTTCGAAAACTACCATTTGTAAGAAACGCTTACATTAATAAAATTTCTAGCATCTAATATTATTTTTTTAAGTTAAAGATCGAAATATTTTATCGATTAATTATCGTGTTCACAAATAAATAAATGAAAAATCAATACATTTATCGATCATCTCAATTTTTTTTATTATTATTTAAAAAAAATATTTACAACTTATGCCACAGGGCATAATAAGTGAATTAGATAATACAATGATAATAAATACACATGAGGAGGGATGCCATCTAGTGATAGAACCCAACTTTTTTTTTTTATAAATTAAATGATGATTGTTAATTATCATCATTAATTTAAATTCCTCCTTAGATGGCGAGAGGGGGTGGTAATAGGAAGTGAGTTGGATGCAAGATCAGCAATTAAAGGATTTGAATGAAATTGTAATTTAGAGTGAAATTTTTAATAATGTTTTGTGGCCAACTGATTTACTGTTTTTATTATAAAGTGTAGAATTGGATATATATCATAGCGCAGAAGAGATAATGCGGTGATGATGGAGTGAATGGTTTGAAGAGGGTACGTATTTAGGAATGTTTTGCACATTCCAAAAATTTAGATTAAATAGTCTTTAATAGGGATTTATTTAAGGTAATTTTTGTGTGGAACGCTAGTTTTTATATCTGAATTAAGTAAAGTAAGTGAAGTCGATTATTGAGAATTTTCCTTTTTAATTTAATGTGAGGACCCCAAGACAACCATCTATCAAGTATGACATTTAAATATTTTACTATTGAGAATATTGGGATTGGTATTTCTTGAAAATGGTAAGGAGGTGGTATGGATTTTTTTAGTGTGAGTGCGGTATATATTTATTTATTAGGGCGAATCTTAATTTTCCAATTGATGACTACTCATCAATTAGATCCATGTGTATTTGTAGTAAATTTGAGGTTTCCTTAGGATCATTTCCCGGTGTAAAAATTATTCTCGACATCTAAACGATTATATTGAGCACATTAAGCGTGTTTTTTATTTTTACTTAGAAACTATTTAGAAAATGTAGATAAATTAATATATGTATATATTAACTTAATATATAGATATCTCAAGATAGCTTAAAAAAAATGCATGACAAAATTGTCACATTCTATAATTTTAAATAATTGTATAATGGATTGAAGTTGTAACTTCGATAGCATTGTGTATAAGTACTAAAAGAAAAAAATCCTATCTCTAAGAATCATAAATAGTGAAATCGGGGTTTTTATATAGATAATTTTTACAGTCTTTTTATATAATTGTTTTAAAGTGGAAATATGTAAATAACTAAAATGTATTTAAATTAAAATAATAAAATATTTAATCGATGCGCAAGTTAGAAAAGTATACGTATTTATTTATTTTGCGTGATTATTATTAATATGCAAGAATTTTTCTACCATACCATTATTAAAGCATGATATTTATTAACACATAATATATTATGTGTGTGTGTGTGTGTGTGTGTGTGTGTAAATGTATACCTGAATAAACTTAATAGTTGCGTGACTTTTTACTTTATTATTTTTTTTTAATTTAACGATTTTTATTTGTATGTATATATGTATAAAATACAAAAAGAATGAATTTTAAACTATTAAATTTACTAAGTTAACATTCTATTGTTGTTATTATTTATTATATTTGGCTTACAGACAAAAATAATTTCTTGTAGTTGTTACACATAAAAACAATATAGGAACTATACGCATATTTTATATATATTACTTACTATGATGCCAGTCTGGTTTAAAATGGTCTTCTTCTGTAGATTCTTCAGCTAAATAATTCACACATTTGGGTAACATTAATCCCATTGTATTGTATGTTTCTCGGTACAGTTGTACTAACTGATCTTCTGAGAATTGACAAAATTATTAGTTCCAAATTCTTATATGAATTTGGAAAAATATTTTCAAATTAGATTAATTAATATAATATAATTTATTGAATATTTGAAGTACATATAAATGTACTGTTCTATAATATATTTTTACATTGCAATATATTTACGAAGTCTTTATGTTTTGAGTGTATAATCCTTAGTTAACTATTAATAAATTAAGAATTGATTACATAATAATATATAATGTATATTTATGCCATTATTGCTATTCCACTGCATTTCGTGACGTTGTTATTTAAATTTGACTAGCCTTTAATGTTTTAATTACTTTACCCGTAAAAGTATTAATGTAATATTATATTATAAAATGTTAACGTATTTATTTTAGATTTTATGCAAAGTGAATTATGTTCAAATGTTGCATCTGTTGCTATTGGTTTTTGTTAGAAAATTTGAAAAAAAACTATTGATTTTTTTTTTTTTTTGAAAACCACTTTATAATATTCATTTAATTACCAAAATTAAAAAAAAAACTTGAGTTACGACTCGCATTGGATATCAGTTGTTATCTTAACTACAAGTATCATGCATCGTTTAACTATAATATATAATACAATTTATTTTCTAATAATAAGAGAATTAGTTCAAAATAATTCTAAAATAGGCATCCTGTAGTTTTATTTCATTATTACGCTTAATTGCATTTCTCATGGTTTAACTAGTAATTAATATAAATTGTTTAAAAACAACAAAACCCGGAAACTTTGTTAGAGAATAATTGAAAGGATTGTATATAAATCCATTAAGTGGCGCCGTCTTGTTCTCCCCAATTTTATTTCACATTTGTTTTAATAATTTCTATGCATACATACGTCTATTATGCTTTGAATGACTACAAGTACCTGTTAGAGAGATACATAAAGTCCATATCCCACCATACATTGGTGCAAGTATAACCGTAGTTCTTTCTTCTGTTAGCTGTAATAATGAGTGTATATCGTACAAATCCGCTTGATGATATTGATTTGCTGTAGCCAAAACTAATAAGGCATCTCCATTATTTATTGGAGATGGCTTTGCTGTATTAATTGTTATTTTTAATATATTTCCATTTACTAGCCATTCAGTATTTACGTTATTGTACCATTCTGATGATTTATTTTGTGTTTTCAACACTGATATTGCCTAAATAAAAATGTATGTTTTATTATGAGTAAAGTATTTTTAATTAGTAAATGTTAAATTATTGAAAATTTACTTCTTGAAAATCCCATTCCATATTTTCCCAATGATTAGTCCAAACTGATGTGCATAACATAAGTGTAGTACACGATGAAAGTATGAGCGTGATAGTGAGGAAAAGTGTGACTGGTTGTACGGATAAGCAACCTTGTGCTTCCGTTGGCCAATAATGAACCGTAACGGTATCCATATTCTATATTTTTAATACCAACTTATGTAGCGGTATCCATGTTTTTTAATTTAAAAATACATTATGTATCAGTTTATATATTTGAATTAATTTTGTAAAACTATAGCAGCTTAAAATAACAAACTAGAATTGTATTTAAAAATTAATGTATTAATATTAATTTTTTGTGTGATTTACGTTATCGTAAATTTTATTGTGGGAACATGTAAAATTAACGACCCTGTCTACGAAATCTTGAATTAAATTATATCATATATTTTAATCAATTATCGAAATCGACCTATTAATGAGATGAAAATAATCAAGAAACAAATTTAATTTTGCATAGTGTACTTATTTCTTTGCCTTTAAGAAAATAAAAATTGTTTCTCTAACCTATATATTTTAAATTTTAGGTAGGTTACACTATATCTATAAGCTATGTATAGAATATTATATATTAATATATCTGCTTTAGTATGAATACGTTGAATTATGTATTTTTATTTAAAAATTTATTACAATTAACGACTTTGTCATAGGTTTTATCACGTTGTTAAATATCTTTATTGTATTTTACATTATAATATACAATTATAAGTTAAGCATTACTATAGAATCGTTTCTTTACTTCATTGTTAACGATTATTATAATTTTTACATTTAAAATATATTTTTGATGTGTTGTGTGATATATTTAAAAAAATTACCGTGTTATATTGTTTCATTAATAAAAAATTTCTTTTCATTTTAAAGTATCAAGGATAAAACATTTATTAGCACGAAAATAAAAATATTAAGTATAATTATACCAATATAGACTTAGGTATTGTAATTTCTTAATACTCTAAAAATGTGGGCTAGTTTCATAATATTATCCGTCGATCAAACTTATAAACCGTACATTTTTAAGACTGGGTTAAAATTAGGTGATGTAAATAACTAATCATAAATATTACTGTTGCTTATACATTTCCATTTATAATAGGTATGTTACAATATTACAAATAAGGTTTAATAATTTAATGCTTACTCAATAATTATATGCGCGAATACCTGATTTTATTATAAGCTTGTAAATAATAAATATATTGTAATGGTGTTTTAAAATAAATATTATTTGTAAATTTTTATTATAAATAACTATGTATACTACACGGTACACATATACCTTAATATTATTTTTAATGCACGTTTGTATTTTAATTTGTGTTTTAAATAATATATATTACATATCGTTTTTAGAGTTTTCTAGCAGTATTTTTAATGAAATGAATAATAATTATAAAAAATGTGGTCTTACCAATTAATACAATATCGCTATTATTAATACATTTGACATAGGTATATCTGTATTAATCCAAATTTTAAATGTGCTCCTGAAGAGGATTTTAAAACAATAAAACACACGATTACTAAGCAATATTAATAACTAGATGCTGAGTAGACTGTTAGACTCCAGTGTGCGCGAAAATACGTTTGACCCGATCTATAATATCTGGAACAGGGGTATAAAGGGCGCCAAGCCTCTAATAAACATTCCCGAACTACAAGTATAGCCAACATAAAAAAGAAAATTTACAATAAAAATGTATTATGTTGGTCTACACATTTTTAAAGTGCACCTTGACGACGTTGGATTAGTTTTATTAACCGTGTGATCTAAAAATGTAACTATATAATCATTTTACCTCTATTCATCACATAACTTATATTTTATAAAATTAAGATTTGTCATAATTTAACGAACTTAAATTTTAAAAATACCCGAAAGAGTAATAAATTACGTTAGATGTTTTTAAATATATGATATATTGTTAAATATTCATTTTTTAAGAAACATATATTATGCAATAAATTATTATAAAAATAACTTGTTATATCCATATTGATTATTGATAATGATCATGAAATTATGGAATAATAATATTTAAACAGTCATCACTAAAAATCTCTAAGCATACATTTTTTTTCTAGGTTAAAATGCCTTCTGAAGTTGTACAGAAAGAAGCTGAGATTGGTGTTGAAGAAAAAGATATTGCTGAAAAAATTGATACAAAAACAGGACCAAAAGAAAATGGTTTGCAAGAATCTAAAACTGATGAAATTCAAACAGTTGATAATTCAGAAGAATCTAAAATTAATGAAGAAGAATTATCAGAAAGTGAAAACAAAGAGAACGAGGAACCTACTATTGAAGATATCGAATTACAGAAAAAGCGTGCTGAACAACTTTTAACTGATGGTAAACGTCATTTAATAATTAAAGATTTTCAAGAAGCTGTTGATGTTTTAAGTGAAGCATGCAGTCTATTTGGAACCATATATAGTGAATTGGATGAAAAATGTGCAGAAGCTTATTTCAATTATGGATGTGCCCTTCTCGAACTTAGTAAAAATCAAATAAGTCCTGTTGGATTAGAAGAAAAAGATGAGGAAGAAAATGACGGTGAAACTTCAACTGAAGAAATGGATTCAAAGAATGAGGATAATGAAGCTTCTATATCTAATGTTACTAATAAACTAGGAAAAGAAGAAACTAATGACAGTGTTGATGACAAATCAACTGAAAAAGAAGACAATTTACCAGAGGAAACATCAATTGATGCAAAAGAAAATGAAGATGGAGAACAATCCACTGAAAAAGAAAATATTTCTGTTGATGAAGGAGAAAAACCAGATGAAGAAGATGTTAATGATTTACAAATTGCTTGGGAAATGCTCGACTTGGCAAAAGTGATTTATAAAAATCAAGATACTGAGGAATCAAAACTCAAGCTTGCTGAAGTATTAATGAAATGTGGAGAAGTAAGCATTGAAGATGAAAAATTTGAAACAGCTATTCAAGACATGACAGAATCTTTGGAAATCCGAAGGTGAGTTGTTTTTAAAAATTATATAAAAGTTAATATAATAAATTACATTTTACAGGTTATTATTACCAGAGGATAGTCGTATCATTGCTGAGACTTTATTTCAATTGGGTATAGCACAGGAGTTAGGTGGAAGTGGTGAGCAAGCAATTGAACTGTTAACTGAAGCCGTAACTGTTTTAAATCACAAAATTAAAACCTTGGAAAATATGAACAATGGCAGTGACATAATCAAGGCAGAAATTGAAGATGTTAAATCTATTATTCCCGAAATACAAGAAAAAATTGTAGATATTAAAGAACGTAAAAAGACTGCGGTGAGTGCATTATTAGCTGCTGTAGGTGCTTCTAACTTAGCTACATCAAATGGTGAAGCATCATCATCAATCAAACAGGCATCCAACATCAATCATTTGGTACGTAAAAGACCTAAACAAGAAGAAACATCAGATATAGTTCCAAATAAGGTTCCTAAACTTGAAGAGTCCTCAAATGCCAAACCATAATCTAGAATCTGTACATTTATTTAATTTATTATAATATTCCTCCAGTTTTAAATCGTTGGATTAATTTTTATTTTTTAACATTCAAAATTAAATACCTTGTATTTTAATTAATTAAGTGAATTATTTTTGTATTTTTTTTTTTTTTTAATTAAGTTTACATTACATGCAAATAAAAATCAAGACTGTCCTATCATATATATTTTTTTTAAGTACTTTTTATTCCTGAAAAAAAAAATTGGAGTTCTGTTAAATGTTGTTTACATAAATCTTCAATTGTCTGTAAACGTCTTTTGATATATATTTAATTTTATTAGTTCCACTTCCACTTATTCAATATGCATATATTTCTTACAATTAAAATTTTAACATGATTTTGATATAATTTTGATTTTACTTTTAATGCTTTTAATACCTTCCCTATTATTATGTATATTGTACAATTTGCAGTTCTTGAAACGATTTTTAATTTCACTTCATAAATTTAAATCAAATGATTTCGCTAAAAATGTTTCAAGTGTTTTGGATTCATCAAAAATTAATTTTCTTAAATATTAAATATCTACTACAGTAGTTGAATTAGTTAAATCAGATTCAAAACAGACAAATTCAGATCAACTTTAACGCTCTTGATTTACCTATGTTCAACTTGTAACAAATGTGCTATGAAACCTATTATTAATTTTCTTTTTACAGTTATTTCTGAAAAAACATTTGTTGTAGTAACTAGTAAATATACTTGGTTGGAGTATTCGGTTACGCTAAATGTCTTTTTTTGTTATTGTTATCACCATTTTTTTATTCACTTAATGGTTTCTCAATCTCAAACTGAAAAAGATTCTTTAATTACTCATGTTTATATTTCGATTGGAAAAATATAGCTAATATAACAACAATAAAATAAAAAAACAAAAATACTACTTCGCTTAAACTTGCTGTAGTAAAATACAACTCGTGGCTAAAAAAACCAACTTAAATTGGCAATACGTATTATTTTAAGTACCTATTTTGTAAAATTTGTATTCAAGTAAATTAAAATTGCATCTTTTAAAATTATCTACTTATTTTTGGTTTACTTTGTTCTAAGTTAATAATTATTGATAAGAATAAATATTGATATAACTTTGAAATAATAAAAGATTAATCCAAAAATCGGGAAAATTCCCCATTTTGTCGGCGAATAGGCTTACAACGGCCAACAAATCATAATATTTTAAATCTAATCGTAAAATTTTTTTTGCATATTTATGGTTATTACAAATTCTTATAAAATTCAAAAATTTTTAAAGTGAACAATTTTCATTAAGTAATTAATTATAAGTTGATTGATTTGTGAATTTTATATAAATAAAAAAAATGTCTTGCATATTTCGATACTTTTTAGTATATAAAAATCCGTGATCTAATTATTACTTAAAAAGTTAAATATTTTTCTTTTGAAAGTATCAACCAATAACTATTTACAACGGACAAACAATCGATAGGCAATAACTTTATCTTATTAAGGTACAGGTAACACGTATTTATTTAAGATTTTAAAGTAATAGTATAGGTACTACAATCAAAAATAGCCACATAATTTTTTGTCGTATACAAGAAATTATGTGCTTAACATATATAATCGATTATTAATTATTAATTATTCAATATGTGATAAATAGCTGTTTTCCCTAGTAATTTAATAAATCTAGTAAGAGTTATCCAATGAGTAGCTATACAGCTGAATAATAGTTCCTTAATTTATTGAAACGCTGTCTTAAAAAAATGCATACTTTTATGTGTTTAACTTAAAATATTAGTTTAAACAAATTACTATAATAACATGAATAGGTACGTCTTTTTCCAAGTCCTTATAATAAAAATAGCTAATTTAGTTGAATCTCTATTTAAAAAACTTGAAGGTTTTTCAAAAAATATTCGTTAAATAGACATTTTGTTAAAAAGAGATACTATTTTTTTCACTTAAAATGAGTTTTAAGTATACAAAATTATGACAACTAATTTTAATATTGATAGATTGTCTCGTAACATATAACATTAATAACAATATTTAAAGGAAATACAGTTTAATTCAATATCATGTGCTAGATCTTGCATATATTTTTATGTCATGTATGATTAATGAGTATATACGTCTTTATAAATATGTAACAATACAATAGAGTTCAAATTTGTGCTAAAAAAAAAAAAAAATAATTCGTTAAATAGAAAGTTTTTAAATGAATATTTTGTGATTCCATAAAGTATTTCTTTGTATATAGTATATACTATAGAGAATTTCATTAAATATAAGTTTCACTGTACTTAATTACTTTTAAATTACATTTAAATTTATTTTGGGATTAATATAAAGATTTCTTGTATAATTTTTGTTTATATATTTTATTAATTTTTCATAGATTTACTATTTGCTGTGTTTAGGAAATTTTGTACTTAACTTTGTATAATTTATTACTGTATACAGATATAATATCGATGATAGTGATTGGCAGCGGATTTCGTGTACGATGCATTTTGGTTTGTGTCATCTAGAATTCTTACAGTGAGCTGAAATATATAGTATGTAATAACTAATAACTAATAACTAACAACTACTATGGACAGCACAGAATGCTGCAATAATGTACCTATTTTGCCTATACTATACGCCGGGAAACATAATGTGTGAAATACAAAGTTTATTAATTTATTATATAATAATACACTAGTACTACAGTCTTTATTAGCTATTAGTCATTAGGTATATACTTCATATATAACTCATTATTGTTATTAGTATTTACAACAATTTTTGTGTAGTCTATGACCAGAGTAGATAGGGCTTAGTAATATTGACCTTGGTAGCAAAAAAGGAACGCAAAGCCAAATAAAATATTCCTATTTTATTATTAATATTTAATATTAATAATGTATATTTTATTTAGAAAATACGCAAAGTGGTTATACTATTATATTGGTATAAATCATAAATATAGGACAATTTTAGGCTATTCGAGATAGATTACCATTCAGTAGACAGTAATACACAATATAGGAATATATATAGTATACAAATATTACAAAAATTTTAAAACATAAAATACATGATGTTATAACTTATAATATTACGCTGAGTGATTGAAATAATTTTGAAAATTTTACATGTTAAAAATAAAAATAGATATCAAAATTCAACCCCCTTTTAGTGTATTCACATTTATTGTTAGGTAGATATCTATATTCATATTTCAATATTTAACCATTTATATTTTATAAGCTCATGAAAAGAAGTTCTATAGAAGAAACTCTACAGTGAGTTACTTATTATTGTAATAATAAAAATAAATTTAATTTACTTCTATTAATAATTTGTAGGTATTCCAGGTTTTAATAAAATAATTATATATAAGAATTAAAATATCTATTTTTTTATTATAGGTAGATATTTAAGAAGTCACTTTTACCATTTATTAGTTTTTATTTTTTATTAATCAGATTTGAATTCAAATAATGTAAAAACATTTGTTTGTTGACACATTAAAAAAAATTGATTTAACATTCGAACATCAATATATTATTTTTGGGGGGAATCAAAAATGGAGAAATACGCTTGTATATTAAATGGTCAGGAGTACTACGTAACTTAATATTATAATTATTATTATTTTAGATTTTCAACGGGGCAATGAATGTATTTATAATATTACGATTTTTACGCCAAATGTTAAAATTTGTACATTTTTTCAACGGACTTTTTTCTCAGGTTTTTATTTTTTTGAAAGGAGGTACTTTTTCCTTGAGTTTTTTGGGTGAGTATTTTTTTATCATTCAATAAATATAGTTTAGAACAATGAGCCTAAAGGCTAAAATAAAAAAATAAATAATGGAACTATTAAATAGTGACAAAGTGGATTGTAGAATAATTGATGATTAGAACAAATAAAACTTGGAATACATTATTAGCGCCGGAACAATTATTAGTATTTTTTCGTAATAAAATATGAACATTTTGGATAAATCTACAAAAAATAAATTTAAAAAAATTGACTTTGGAACAACTATTTTGTGAAATAGAAGATACTGTGATCCGTCCGAACGCGATGCCTTGTTATTTTATATTTTAGGTGCGTGACGTAATGCGCAGACTTGAACTAAACCCGGAAATTTTGTAAACATACCATGATATATCTGATATGAGTTTTATCAGTGATACGATTCTGTATTTCAGTGTTATAACAATTTCTTCATCCGCAATCTACGTTTCGCAATTCAAAATGTTGAATCTGTTGAGAGGTACCTTATTTACCTGTTGCCTATCTAATTTCAAATTAACAATGAAACACCGTACACTTTTATTTTTTCAATTTTTTGCCATATGACTGCAAACCGTAGTCACTGAAGCAAGACCTACTGACATTAAACTTTGAATTTTAATTAATTTCGCTTAATAGTTTAATTATTTACTGACTACTTTTTTATAGATATTTTCTTTTTTTTTTTTGAAAATGTTATTCTTAAGATGTACTTTCGCTATTATTCAAATCATTTCAATTGCATCGTCTCAAAAGATAAGCTCCAGAAATAAACAAGTAAGTGATCCAATTTTCAAGTGTGATTATTTGTATTTTATTATTATATTTTATAATTATATACTTATTACTAGTATAATTATTGATTTGTTTTAATAATATTCCTATTCAATTATTTTTTCATATAATTTAAACTATCTTTTTTCTTTTTATTTAACATAATGTCTAGATTATTTTGTAGTATGTTTAAGCATTAACATTTATAATACTGGCAGCACTATGATAATTAATAATTAAAATTAAATATAGGTATTTGATATTTTAATGCTGGGTTACATAAAAAATTAATTAATTTAATGTTTCATTAAAATTGATGGACTAATTATAGGCCACTTAATCATGTTAAAGGGACTATCGGTGCATTACTGGTTCAATTAAATTTTCATTGATTGTTCATAAAACACAAAATAATTATATTAAAAATAAGGTATAACTAATGTTAATGATAATAAAATAAAAATTTGGTTGGAATAAGTTGTAACGCACGTTCTTAAAACTAAACCGCATATTTTTCAAAAAGCTTCTTTACAATTATTAATGAAATTAGTAGGGATGTATTATTTAAAGTAAAAATTTAAGTATTTGTGGATATAAAAAAATTATGAGAAAATACTTAATAACAATAATACCATATTGTTCTATAATCCGTTTTATCACTGTTAGTTTCAATATTAAATAATACTTACTCAATAAATGCATATATAATTTTCAAACATAAATTTTATGTATGATTTACTTAACAAATCAAATAAGTTTTAAGGAAGTATATATAATGTGTATTCAATTAGCTTAATTGTGTATTATTGGATTAATTAGAAATATCATTGATTATAATTAAATTCATTATTTATGTTATATAAAGATATAAAATAAATAATTATAACTGGTATTCAAAAAAAAAAAAGTTTGGATAAAAAAAAATATTTTTCTTTATACTTTGTATATAGTTAGTGTATTCTAAAATAACACGTGAGAGTATTTACAATTTTCGAATTTACATTGACTTTACAATTATACTTCACTAATGTTTGAACTTTTCAAATGCAATAAATATATTTGGTTATTTTATTTTTACAAACAAATACTGATTTTTTAGAAAGGCATTACGTAATTAATAAATAATATTTTATGATTATTACTAACTGTTATCTGTTGTGGCTTTGCCTATGATATATTTTAATTTGTGTCTAATTTTATTTTTACATTTTATGATATCAAATCACAAATTCTGGAAACAGATTATATCAATCATATTATAATCATGTTCATTTTTGATTTAAATTTTTACTTATAAAGTACTATAAATAATCACCAGCTTAAAAACCTAATTCAATTCATCTTAAAAAATTTTTAAGTTATTAAAAATCAGTTAAAATAAAACTTAAAATTTTTCAAATTTTATCATGATAATAATTTTTTAATTATATGATAAACCAACTAAATTTTACTTAACTTTTACATTGTAGAAATATTTTATAAATTAGTCAGTACTATCATTGTTTATGATATTTAAAAAGAAATAAAAGATAAATATTTATAGCTAAGTAATTTAGTTTTTATACTTGCCTTTTTTTATTATTAAAAGTAATGGTAGGTAGTAGTAATTTGAAAAATATTTCTAAAATTTAAAAGTTAAGAAAAAATTAGTTAATTTAATATATAATTAAAAATCATCACTATGATAAAATTTGAAAGTTTTTAAGTTTTATTTTTACTGATATTCAGTAACTTAAAACATTTTAAGATGAAATTAATTGGGTTTTTAAGCTGGTGATTATTTGCAGTAATTTATAAGTAAACATTTAAATAAAAATTATCGTGATTATAATATGATTGAAATAATCTGATTTCAGAATTTGTGATTTAATATTATATTGTTAGTTAAAAAAAAAAAAAAAATTAGACACAAATTCAAGTATATCATAGGCAAAGCCAGAACAGGTAACAGTTAGTAATACTTATAAAATATCATTTGTTAGTTATGTAATGCCTTTCTAAAAAACCAGTATTTGTTTATTAAAATTAATTTTATATTCACAATGTGCAGTATTTCAGTATTTGTTTAATTTATTACATAATTATTATTTATACATTTTTTTTATATAAGTTTTCTGAACCTGATATAAATACTGTAAGTAATACTACTAAATAATTTTATAATTAATGCAGAAATGGTAATTTTGTAAATGATTGAGAAATTTCAGCAAAGTGAGATTAATAATGTATGTTAATTGAAAAGAAACAGATAATACTTCTACTTATATTTTCATGGATTGTTTCTATTAAAGGTATAACTATTTTGTATTAAATTACCTACTAATGTGTTTTGAGATTTAATTTAAAAATACAAATTATTGTTCTTAACACCTCAGTAGATAATTTGCAGTGTTATGTAAGTAATTTTTAAAAAGTAATTAAGTTACTCTACTCTATACTCAGGGATAATCGTAATAAAGTTACTTTACTCTGTATTCAAGGATAATAATAATAAAATAATTTTACTTGTTTCTCAAATAAAACTGTAATGAAATTACTTTTCAACATTACGTTTATTATATTATATATTATATATATATAAAAAACAGAATTCTATAAATTCTATGCAAATATTATTTACTAGTTATAAATTAAAATTTAATATCGTATTTATCAGAAAATAGAGATAATAAGAAGCTTAAAAAGTTGAAATGTGTGAACTTTGTTGTAAGTTTGACACTTATCAAAATTTATTCAAATGAAAATGTATTTTAAATTAGTATAAATAATTTAATCAACTTAATAATATGAGTTTTTAAAAATTTAGAGCACTACCATTTCTCAAGATACTACTTATAAATTATGCCATATGGGAATCGAAAAAAATTTTAAACCAATCTTAGATGAAATGTTAATTGAAAGAGTTGTTGGAACAAATAATCATGAATTTATAAAAATGGTAAATTTTGAAAAATTAAAATAATAAATAATCAATTATATTATATAAAGTCAATATTTTTTTATTTTACTAAATATATACAGTACATCGCAGAAGAAATGAAGAATAATGGTTGGGTAGTGGAACTAGATGAATTCAAAGCCTCAACACCAAAAGGTGTGTACAATATGGCTAATGTTGTAGCTACTCTAAACCCTATGGCTGACCGGTATATAGTTATTGCTTGCCATTACGATTCAAAATTAATGGATTTTTATTTTGTCGGCGCAACTGATTCAGCAGTGCCTTGTGCTATGATGCTATACATGGCAGGATCATTAAACCAACGACTTGAAACCTTTAAAAATACTGTGAGTATATACAAATTAAAAATATCACTACATAGAAACTTAAATATTATCACAAAGACTTATGAGTAATAAAAGAAAATGTATTAGGTATATTGTATTATTTATTTATATATACATCATATCCACAAAAATAGTTTTATTAAGTATTTTTTTTTTTTTTTATAGTATGTATGTTTTGTATATTATATGTAATTCCATAGATAATTGAGTGTTCACTGTTCACATTTATTTTTTTATAGAAAATAATAAATTAATATTCAATTAACCAAAATTAAGTAGTCAATTTCAGACAAGTTAGGCTTTAAAAGTTGTTTAGAGTTATGTATATTATATATTAATACAAGAAATAGAAAAAGTTATGGTATTTGTAGTTTATACTTTAGGTATTTTTTTCTTTAAAATCATTTTAAGAGAGAATTTTGCTGGATTTACTTGAACATATTTTTACTTTTAAAAATGACTAATATAGCATCCTTTTAAATTTGGTTTTCAATTATTTCTGATATTTGACTGTCGAACACTAACTAAATACCTAAATTATTATTTTTATTGTTATCAATGAAATAAATCATACACTTTTTTCTTTGGGGGTCTTTAATACAGAGTTATGTTTTATTAACTTAATGAATTAATAAGAATCATATAAAATCAAGCTTTGAAATTTTCAAACACTTCCTCTGAATTATTATAATACATTCATTTAATGATAAATAGTATTAAATAATTTTTACTACTTAATTAACTATTGATAGAAAAATTAAATTATATTACCTTCTTTCTAACTAGATTATTGTCTAAAATAATAAAAGAATCTTAGCTAGCACATATTTTTTTATGTTTGACTCACAATATTCACACATAGTATAACAAATGTGTGTTCAGCTAAACAAATCATGTATTGTTAGCTTTAATACTAGAATGAATTGATTTATTATCATTATTTAAAATTTATGAGCTTTTTAAATTTTATTATTTTACATACTCATAGCTTGTATAAAAATTAAAATATAGTAAAAATGTCAACACACAAACAGATAATATTATTAGCTTTAAGTTTAATGAATAGTTATGTTAATCTAATATTAAAGCTAACAACACAAGATTAGTTTTGTTGAATATAAATTTGTTATGTTACAGATATATTAGAAATCATGTTATAGAAAAGTCCATGAAGTCTTGTAAAAAATGAAAAGCATTATCCTTAGTATACAATGCTTACTCTATTACATATAATAATAAATTGATATTTTAGCTTACATTTTAAATTGCTATATGTTATTTAAATAATTTAGCCTTTAAGCTTGATGATGGTATTTTTCGATGGGGAAGAAGCTTTTGTAGAATGGTCAGAATCAGATTCTCTTTATGGTTCACGACATTTAGCTTCAAAGATGGAGAATACCAAATTTCTACATAATGGTCGACAATTAAATCAATTATATAGAATAGTAAGTTATTTCATTGTCTTCATTACTTAATTAACAAGGATGTGTATTTATTAAACTTTTATACATGTATATTTTTTTACAGGAATTTTTAATGTTACTAGATTTGTTAGGCACAAAGAATCCAAACTTCTATAACTATTTTCCAGAAACTGCTGATCTATATCGATCTTTAATCAAATCTGAAACAATCTTAAACAAGACTGGTTGTTTAAATGAATATACTAATACCTATTTCCGCCCAATGTCTGCATTTGTTCAAATTGATGATGATCATATGCCATTTTATCAAAGAGGTAAATACTAAAATTTAAATATATTTCTAAATTCATATGGTTTAACCAGATGTTTGTTTTGTAGGAATTGAAGTAGTTCATATGATTCCAAATCCATTTCCAAATGTTTGGCATAAAAAAAGTGATAATAAAGATGCATTACACATGCCAACAATACTGAACTTAATAAAAATTGTTCAAATATTTCTAGTTACTTATTTGGAAAATCAGTAAAAATATTATTTTGGATTGCTTCCTAGTATCTCATTTATAAACTTTGGAGAAAAAATTATTGGCTAATTTTAACATTTTTATTATTATTTTTATTTTTATTTTTATTTTTTTAATTTGTTTTTATGTTATTTTTAATTTTAGATTAATGATACATTTATTTATAATACATTTATCTGTATAATTGTTAAAATGTAAAATATTATTTTAAAATAATTGTGTCACTTATCAGTCATAATATCTAATATTGTTCACATTTTTATCTTATTTTATATGATCTCAACGATAAATTATAATAGGTACACAACTAAAAACGATTCTGAGTGATAACAGAATAAATTGTTGGTAACAAACATTACTAAACAATTGTATTAATAATGTTACTAAAATTTTAACTTATATTTCATCTTACTCATAATCTTATAATGTTCAAAGATTTTTAATTTTGATCTCCCCCCCCCCCAAAAAAAAAAAAAAAAAAAAGTACAAACTAAATTCAATTTGTTACCACAAATTACCTTCAAAGTTGAAAATCCAAGCAATTTTTTCTACTTTAAAAAGTGGATACAGACAAATTTAATCATACATCATTGTTTAATCTAAGATATGTAATAACAATAATTTATGAGCTTATGGTTATTGACAAATTTATTGAGATAGTTGACATAAAAGAGCAACTCCTCTCATTATCCAGTGTTCTGGTTGCTTGATTGTTGGTATTGATAAAGCAATAACGAAGTTAGTTGAATGTCCTGTTGTAGATAATGTGCCTTTTCTTTCAGCTGTTTTGTACATTGGACACAAATAAACAGTGTCAAATTTTAAATGTTCTTTTTTAATTGGTATCATATGAATTATGGGCATTTTGTAGTATAGTTGTTTTGATTTTGACTCTTTGAGACTTGATTTTTTATTACTCCATCTTGCTCCATCCAAAAATAGTCCATAAACATAAACACCATTTTCTGGAGCTGAATTTACTATCATTTTTCTGTCCATTATCTAGAAACATAATTTTAATTAAAGTGTAAAAACAATACTACCAGTACTTAAAGCAGGAAGTGATAGTCTATATCAGGGATGGGCAACTGGCGGCCCGCGTACTTTTTTTATCTGGCCCATGCTACATTTTCAAGTTACTTCATATAATTTTAGCGCTTATCTGTATTTTATTTTATTTTATTACATTTTTTGATAAAATGTGGATATAAACTTTTCTAATTTTAAACCGAAACTAAATTATTAAATCGTTTAACAGATGAAACCTTGGGACATTTACTAAGAGTTTCAACTACAGAAATATAAGTGGATTTTACTAAATTGTCTATTGAAAAACCTCATCCTCGAGTATCACATTAAATAATAATTGTAAATATAAATAAATAAAGATAAAAAATAAATGTTAGTAAATTTGAAGAACCTTTTGTTTTTTTTTTGCTTTCTCCTATGCACTGCGGCCCGCTAGTTACTTTGAGTTGCCCATCTCTGGTCTATATTATTACTCCACATTCACAATATAATTAATAATAAAAATTAACTTATACTCACCACTAGTAATCTAGTTTACTGCACTATCAAGTACCAATTTAAAGTATTTAGTTATTTAATCACATTCTACAGTCAAATAAGAATTACCTTAGAGGACAGATTTCTGTGCACAGCAGCAAAAATGGGTGTGGCTAACACATCAAGTGTTATATTTTCAAGAATGAATTCTTATTATCTTTACAACTATGTAGTTTACATTTTACAAAGTAAATAAATTTATCGGTTTTAGTCAATGGAAGGACACAAAATTTAGAATAAATTGATTGTTTTTTCTTTTAAATCTTACAAAACAATATTTTTAATTTGCCTCATGTTATTTCTATAGCTGATAGATGAAATCACTAAAATGATTAATTTTTTTTAAAAATAAAATAAGGATAAAGAACTAAAAAGTATATATTTTGTATCAAGTATAACAAATTATTTTTGAACTTGTAACAAAATAACCATTCTATAATTGATTACAGAAAATGGTGTATTTATATGTTGGCTGTTTAGATATAGGTAACTGTTCTTAAAATATAAAATTCTGACTAAGATATATTGTCTGATATGTTTAAAAGTGTGTTGTTTACCTTATAATCAAAGGTCAATAAATCTATAGGTATTTGGAACTTTCTTGCAAAATTTTGTTGAGATCCAGTCAAAAATGCCTGTGTAAAATAGAAACCAGAAATCCAAAATGAATTTGGAATACCTTGAACGTACCATTTCTAAAATAGATTAAATTTTTAATTTTCAAATAAATAAATAATATAATCATTAAATTGACTTACCTGTAAAAATGCTATTCGCTGCAAAAAATCTTTAATGTAACTTCCCAATGGTTTTAGTGATGGATACGAACTGTTAGCCCAAACTACTGGAATTTTGCTTATTAAAATACTATGATAAACTTCTTCTAGTTCATTAGACATTAAAATTAATCCTAGACATAAAATAATGTTATATACTTAATAAAAACTAAGAATTTTTTGTAAATATTAATGCTAGGTGAAATATTATTGATTACCAATTGACATTGAATTACCTAAATAGAAGATATAATATTTTGATTAATGACTAAATATTTTTAAATATTAAACAAGAAATCATAGATTTATTTTGTTTTAAATTGATTCCTATTCTAAAACACTTTTTTTAACAAAAATAATAGATAAATATAATTTAAAAAAAATAAATTCATTCAATAGGTAATTGAAATTAAATAGGTAGTATTGTCAATATCAAGTTCAATAGTACCTTTTACACTCCTTTGTAAGTTTGTCAAGCTAAATTTAATGACGTCTAATAGTTTATTAAACCGACCCATTTCCTGCACCAGAACTGTATTCATTGACTGATTATAAGTGGTAGGATATTTTTCTAGAGCAAGTGTTATGTCAAATTTGTTTGGCAATTTATTAAGTATATCCATGGAAAATGTTAAAATCAGATCTTCAGAGGATACTCCTTTGGCGCCGGTAGTTTTCGAATCCTAAATTTCACAAAACTTATAAGTATAGAGTATAGATATAAAAATGTTATCAATTATTCTTGTTTGAGGTTTTATTTACAAGGTGGTACCTACTAGGTACAGAATAATATTCTGTAGTGGTACGTTTTTAAAAATAGTAATTTTAATAATCTATTTAAACATTTAATGAGCCATTTTATTTATCGCGTAACACATTGTTAATAATAGAAAATGTATTATAGCAATCTCCACGAGGCACCACGTAAAACTGGTGGAATTTAAAATTGTTTTTGTTATTAACATTACTGGTACATTAATTAAGTCATACAGTTTTGCCATAGTGGAACCGGTTAGGTAGCTTGATAGCTGGGTTTCGTGCAGAAGTGCACAAAAAAATCAATAAAAAAAATAAAAAATTACATTTGTGAGAAAATAATAAGCTTTAAACATAGTCAAATAGTTCAGATGCCATACGATCGGCATCCAACATGTTACCGATCCTTATTTTTGAAATATGTCTGATTTAAGAATATTTTTTATATTATTTTTTCCCGTAGGATAACTGTTGTCGACGCTGACAAAAAAAACAATAATAGATAGATAATTGTTATTGTAATAATTATAAAAATATAATAAAGTATTTAGGTAGGAAAATATAATACCTACTTATAAAATATATAATATTGTAGATTATAGTTATTAGTTATTAGTTATTAATTATTACTAATATAACTTATTAATTACTCAGACTTAAAGTTTTGTTTAAAACGGGATTATCCCGTTTTTAGTAGATACTATTAAGACTAGGTAGTAAGTAGTCTCGTTTTATCCAGTCATCAGATATTATCTGTTACCTATATTAAAATTTAATTATTATCATCATAACTAATCCAACTAATCCAAGTATGAGCATAAATGGAAAATCAATACAAAACCACATTTCAAACAACACAGAAATAGTTCAGTGTACATTGTACACCATTTCATTCAAATATTGAAATTTTAAACCCAAGTCACTATCAATTTATAAATTATAAACAGTAATTTTTCATGACAAACGTCGAGTGATGAACAATATTATTAACGATAATCATAGCGTAGGTACCTACCAATTACTATTTATGTAGGTATGTACCTATACCTACAACGTGTAATATAAAGTCACTTATTACAGTATTATCTCCAAAATATATTTATTTATTTTGTTTAAATCAAGGCAAATTCATTTGTTCCAATTTTAATTTTCATAAATATGGTGCTCCTAAATTATTAGGCAGATCAGTTGTGTGCTTAATGTAAAATATTTTAGTTTAAAATTATTAATTAAGTACATAGATAATACTTACGTTACTACATTTTTCCCATAAATCCTAAGATATAATAGCAGCATAATAAAATTAAATAGGTAGGTAATATAATAGTTAGAAAAAACACTATGTAGTTAAGAGGATTTCAGCGTATTGTTTGTTTTCTCTCTCTGATCCAAGTATAACAAGACAAAACGCATTTACGCAGAATTATTTTTTTGATGTTTTGGAGTAATTTTAGAGTAAAATCGCCCATAACAAAAATTATAGAGAATAATATTTTTGAAGGTATGATCTATGGATTTGTCTAAATATTATTTAAAAACAATTTTAAATATCATTTAAATTAATATTTTTTTATTTTTAAAGTTGAATACCAAGTCAAATAATAATAAAATATGAAACCGATACGTTAAACCTTCAAAAATATTATCCTTTATGATTTTTGTAATATATATTTTTACTATTATACTATTACTATTTTATTAAAAAAATAATTCTACGTAAATGCGTTTTGTCTGTTACATGTGGCCATGTGGGCCAGAGAGAGTTTTTGAAGATAAAAACAAACAGTACACCGACATCCCCTTAATAATTATGATAAATGGTTAAAAATATTATCTATACCCGATACTGACTACACTTATAATTCAATTAATATAATATGTATTGATTTACTTTTCGTTATGATT